GCAAGACCACACCCCAGCACGACCACACCCCAGCACGACCTCACCACAGCACGACCACGCCCCAGCACGACCACGCCCCAGCACGACCACGCCCCAGCACGACCACCCCCCAGCACGGCCACCCCATCAGCACGACCACCCCCCAGCACGACCCCCCCCCAGCACGACCACACCCCAGCACGACCACACCCCAGCACGACCACTCCACAGCACGACCACACCCCAGCACGACCACACCCCAGCACGACCACACCCAGTCGCACCCCCGTGGAATGTTTCGTGGCGTGTCTGGTTGAGTGGTTGCCTGTTCGTGGGGTGTCTCGTGGAATGTTTCAAAGGGTGTATCGTGGAATGTTTCGTGAGGTGTCTCGTGGAATGTTTCGTGAGGTGTCTCGTGGGATGTTTCGCGGGGTGGCACGACCACGCCCCAGCACGACCACCCCCCCAGCACGACCACCCCCCAGCACGACCACCCCCCCAGCACGACCACCCCCCAGCACGACCACACCCCAGCACGACCACACCCCAGCACGACCACTCCCAAGCACGACCACACCCCAGCACGACCACACCCCAGCACGACCACACCCAGTCGCACCCCCGTGGAATGTTTCGTGGCGTGTCTGGTTGAGTGGTTGCCTGTTCGTGGGGTGTCTCGTGGAATGTTTCACGGGGTGTCTCGTGGAATGTTTCGTGAGGTGTCTCGTGAATGTTTCGTGAGGTGTCTCGTGGGATGTTTCGCGGGGTGTCTCGTGGGATGTTTCGTGAGATGTCGCCCAGTTGGGTATCGTGAAAACGTGACCATGCTGCACATGTCTTTATCCCTTTCCGGGTTCGTGGGTCCATCATGTTTTCCCTGGTAAATAACGAGCCGGCGAATTGCCGGCGAATTTTTTCCATGATAAATAACGAGCCGGCGAATTAAAATTTGAGGATGTCTCGAGCGGAACGCTTGTTTTTCAGAAAATGGTGAGGATGTCTCGAGCGAAACGTTTGTTTTGTGTTATAGAATTCTGAGGACCACCTCCCAGCACGACCACTCCCCCAGCACGACCACCCCCCAGCACGACCCCACCCCAGCACGACCCCACCCCAGCACGACCATACCCCAGCACGACCACACCCCAGCACGACCCGACCCCAGCACGACCCTACCCCAGCCAGACCACACCCCAGCACGACCACACCCCAGCACGACCTCACCACAGCACGACCACACCCCAGCACGACCACGCCCCAGCACGACCACGCCCCAGCACGAACCACCTCCCAGTCACTGACCACACCACCAGCACGACGATCACAGCACGACCGACCCCCCATCACGACCACGACCCCAGCACTACCATCCCCCAGCACGACCACTCCCCAGCACGAACCACAACCCAAGCACGACCACACCCACAACGACCACACCCCAGCACGACCACACAACACCCCACACGACCCACCATCCAGCACGACCCCACCCCAGCACGACCCACCCTAGCAAAGACCACCACCCCAGCACTACCACAACCCCATCACAACCATCACCACAGCATCGACCACACCCCAGCACGACCACGCCCCAGCACGACCACGCCCCAGCACGACCACGCCCCAGCACAACCACCCCCCAGCACGACCACCCCCCCAGCACGACCACGCCCCAGCACGACCACCCCCCCGCACGACCACACCCCAGCACGACCACTCCCCAGCACGACCACACCGCCTTGGTTGAGTGGTTGCCTGTCGTCGTGGAATGTTTCGTGGGGTGTCTCGTGGAATGTTTCGCGGGGTGTCTCCTGGAATGTTTCGTGAGGTGTCTCGCGGAATGTTTCGTGAGGTGTCTCGTGGGATGTTTTGTGAGGTGTCTCGTGGGATGTTTTGTGAGATGTTGCCCCGTTGGGTATCGTGAAAACGTGACCATGCTGCGCATGTTTATATCCCTTTCCGGGTTCGTGGGTCCATCATGTCCCGGAAAGGGCGTAGGCCCAGGGTTCTCTTTGTTCTAGGTAAACTAGTCCCCCGGTGCCTGCTTGAAGGAGGCCGGCGAATTTTTTCCCTGATAAATAACGAGCCGGCGAATTGCCGGCGAATTTTTTCCCTGATAAATAACGAGCCGGCGAATTGCCGGCGAATTTTTTCCATGATAAATAACGAGCCGGCGAATTAAAATTTGAGGATGTCTTGAGCGAAACGCTTGCTCCGCAGAGTTTGCCGAGGATGTCTCGAGCGAAACGCTTGTTTTGCAGAGCCGACCGCGACGCGGAAAAGCGCCCCGCGCGAAGGAATTTCGATGATGTCTCGACTAATTCCTTTGTTTTTGTACGATTTCCTTGAATTTTGGCAGGATGTCTCGAGCGAAATGCACGACCCCACCCTAGCACGACCATGCCCCAGCACGACCACACCCCAGCACGACCAGA